GAGGAGGAGCAAGGCCGCGCGCGGGTGGGCGCCCAGGCGCCCTCGCCCGGACCTCTGCGCCGCGGCTTCGACGGGAGGTGGCGTGGCCCGGTGACGCGCGGCGCACGTCTCGCCCGCTGGGCTGACTGCCTGCCAGGCCACCCCGACCCAAACCCGACGACCCAAAGTTCAGGTGGGGGGGTACATATGGGTTCCATTTGTGTTTTTACTCCATGTTCCCCCGACGCCCCTCCCCCCCAACTGGGAATGGAGGGAAAATTGGGTGGGGCCTTCGGGTTGGGTTGGGGGTGGTTTGGCTTGGTGGGTGGTGAGTGACAGCGGCAGCGGCAGCCGTGCCGCGCGAGAGCGAGCGAAATGGTGGCATCGCCCAAGCGCAGCACAGCTTGCGCGTGAAATCGGCAGTGCTGTGCCGGCGCGGCGCATGCTTCGTGCTCGCCGCGCTCCTCGGAAACCTGGCTCCCGAGAAAAGCCTGCATGTCACTGTCGCCGCAGCGACCGCGCAAGGGTTTTCTGAGGTCCCGCTTCCGCCCGCGCGCGGACCGAGTTGTTCCCCTCGCCAAGTCGTTGGGACGGGCGCGGCGCGCGAGCGCCTGCCGTTCGCTGGGTGGAAACGCGTTCCAGTCCCAATATCCGGTTGCGCCACCACTGCGTGATCTAGTATAGGCCGCTGACTAGTTCGACCTGCCAAACTTGACACAACTCATCCTCCTCCTCCTCGTCCTCCTCGTCCTCCTCCTCCTCGTCCTCCTCGTCCTCCTCCTCCTCCTCCTCCTCCTCCTCCTCCCCCTCCTCCTCCTCCTCCTCCTCCTCCTCCTCCTCCCTCCTCCTCCTCCCCTCCATCTCCCTATTCCTCCTCTCCTCCTCCTCCTCCTCTCCTCCTCCTCCTCCTCGTCTCCTCCTCCTCCTCCTCCTCCTCCTCCTCCTCCTCCTCCTCCTCCTCCTCCTCCTATCCTTCTCTTTCTCCTTCTCCTTCTCCTTCTCCTTCTCCTTCTCCGTCTCCTTCTCCTTCTCCTTTCTCCTTTTTCTCTCTCTCTCTCTCTCTTCTCTCTCTCTCTCTCTCTCTCTCTCTCTCTCTCTCTCTCTCTCTCCTCCTCTCCTCCTCCTCCTCCTCCTCCTCCTCCTCCTCCTCCTCCTCCTCTTCCAAGTCTCAACATCATCTCATCATCATCATCATCATCAATCATCATCCATCATCATCATCATCATCTCTCATCATCATCATCATCATCATCATCAGCAGCAGCAGCAGCAGCAGCATCATCATCATCATCATCATCATCATCATCATCATCATCATCATCATCATCAGCATCATCATCATCATCATCATCATCATCATCATCATCATCATCAGCATCATCATCATCACATCATCAGCAGCAGCAGCATCATCATGATCAGCAGCAGCAGCATCATGATCATCATCATCATCATCATCATCATCATCATCATCAGAATCAGCATCATCATCATCATCATAATCATCATCGTCATCAACAGAATCATCATCAGCAGCATCAGCAGCATCAGCATCAGCATCAGCATCAGCATCATCATCATCATCATCATCGTCATCGTCATCGTCATCGTCATCATCAGCATCAGCATCATCATCATCAGCATTAGCATCATCAGCATCATCGGCATCCTCGTCATCGTCATCATCATCATCATCATCATTATCAGAATCAGAATCGGCAGCAGCATCATCATCAGCATTATCATCAGCAGCAGCATCAGCATCATCAGAATCATCATTACCACCATCATCATCATGATCATCAGCATCATCATCATCATGATCATCATCATGATGATCATCATCACCACCATCATCATCATCATCATCATCATCATTAGAAGCAGCAGCATTAGCACCATCATCAGCACGAGCATCATCAGCATCAGCATCAGCATCAGCATCAGCATCAGCATCGTCATTACCATGACCATCATCAGCAGCATCAGCATCAACATCAGCATCAGCATCATCATCAGCATCGCAATCACCAGCATCATCATCATCATCATCATCATCATCATCATCATCATCATCATCATCATCATCATCATCGCCAGCATCATCAGCATCATCATCATCGTCATCAGCAGCATCATCATCGTCATCGTCAGCATCATCAGCATCATCATCAGCGTCAGCATCGTCAGCATCATCATCAGCATCAGCATCATCGTCATCGTCAGAATCAGCATCGACATACTAGTCATCACCGACATCATCATCATCATCATCATCATCATCATCATCATCACCATCATCATCAGCAGCATGAACATCGTCATCAACATAAGCATCATCATCATCGGCATCAGCATCATCATAAGCAGCATCATCATAATCGTGATAATTTCAGCATCAACACCATCATCGTCAGCATCATCAGCAGCATCATCATCTGCATCATCATCAGCATCATCAACAACAGCATCGTCGTCATCCGCATCATCATCATCACAATCACCATCATCAGTATCCGCATCAGCATCTGCATCGTCATCATCATCACTATCAGCATCATCAAAATCAGCAGCAGCAGCATTGTAAGCATCGTCGTCGTGGTCGTTGTAGTCACCGCCATCGTCATCGGCATTCGCACCATGATCACCACCGCATCATCGCAATCACTATCACAGTCACCATCACCACCAGCATGTTAATGATCAGCAGCAGCAGCATCATCAGTAGCAGTATCATCACCATCATCTGTATCATCATCATCATCATCATCATCATCATCATCATCATCATCATCATCATCATAATAATCATCATCATCATCATCAGCATCATCATCATCATCATCATCATCATCAGCATCATTAGCATCACCATCGTTGTCATCATCCTTCTGCGTCTTCTCATCCTCCTCCGCCTCCACGGACTCGCCCTCCTCCCTATCCTCGTCGCCCGTCTCGTCCTCGTCCTCGTCCTCTTCCTCATCCCCCCCTCCTCCACCTCCTCCTCCTCCTCAGCATCATCATCCTCCTCCTCCTACTCCTCCTCCTCCTCCTCCTCGTCCGTCTCCCCCTCCTGCTCCTATGTGTCCTCATCCCTGCCTCCCCCATCCTCCCCACTCTGTCTCCATGACAGCGTCGCGGCCTGGCGCTCCAGAGATGACCAGCGGACACAGAAGACAAGCAAAGAAAGGAGGAGGCTGCGAGTCTCTCCTGGAGGAAGAGGG